CCATGTGGGAATCAAACCAGGGACCCTGTTACTCAGAGCATGCGTTCTTAACCAACTGAGCCACTCGGCCGGCCCCTGACTCAAATTCTTAGTGGGGAAAGTACTGGTACATTATACTACTGAAAGTCTGGATTTGACATAATCATGACACTAATGCCATACATTACATATTACCTTATACATCTGACCATGTGAAAAATAGAATTTATAGGTGTTTTATGATTTTTGGAGAGTTTTAAAGATGCCAAGTATGAAATCATCTGAAAAAATGTTTTATTAAAAATAATGTAAACATATTAAAGAAAAATTGATATAACTATGTTGAGAAAAATGATAATAGAAGATGCTCAGTTTTAAATCTTCATTTTCCATGACACAAAATCAGTAAATAATGTCTACAACTGATAAATTAAGAAACTGCATGGTTAAGTTGTAAGTTATTTGGTGGTGGGGGAACAAAGAGATGAAGAGGGATAAAGCAGAAGACAGTTCTCTTTCATTATAAGCTTTGTGGTAGTATCTGACTTAAATATGTATTATGCATAAATATACATTAGTTTGATTATAAAAATGTTTAAGTTAAAACACTGGGTTTACTATATTAAAATCTTTTTCATTTCAACTTTACTCCTTGTATCCAAGATATATAAATGTTACAATACATATTAAATTATAAAGTGTGGTTCATGCTAATTTCATCAAGTTTTTAAAAACTCACATTACTAAATAGAGATATTCCTGAGAAGTTGGTTCTTATAGAACCATGTTTACCACCATTTCCCATTCCAGTTTCAGAAGAACATTCCCATATTACACCACCAATAGCTCAAAGGCAGGTATGGGAAAGAGGAGCGATTCCTCCTCAGAGCATAAGCTGTCTGCTGAGATGCAGCCATCACATGCATATTCTTCTGATCTTGCATTTCATAAGTGAACAAGTGAGGGAAAGCTGAGGTCCCTCAAAAGAAAAGCCAATGGCTCAGAAAATTACTAAGGCATTTAAACACAAACATATTTGAATTCTTGAGAGCCTACTGCCTCTCTGCTCTCCCGTTAATTCGTGTCTTTTTACTTTTTCCTCCCTTAGTACAATATGTATAACTGAACTATCAGAACAAAGGTAATGTAGTAATTCCAGGCTACTGCTGGAAGAAAAAAAGCAATCCTAGTCCCTTCTAGATCACATTCTATAAAATAGATTAAATTCTAATATTAAAATGCAAAATTCACATTTTTAGGAAGCAAGTTTCAGAATCTATTCAGTTAATTAGTCCCATTTACATAAGTGTTGTAAATTATACTATAGAATAACCATATGAAACTACCTTTGTTCCTCTCACAATCCTGAGATTAAGAAATATATAAAAATAAAAATTGAAACAAATTTGGCATTAATTAATCCAAATGCCTCATTTAAAACTGATTAAATAAATTACTAAAATACTAGCAAGGTATTTTAAAGAGAAATGGTAATTTCTGATTTCCCATAAAAAGCGTTATGTTGGCAAATGAGGTGACTACATCAGACAACAGTTAATTAAGTAAATAAAACATAGATAACTGAAGATTTGTAGAAGGCAATATCCAGAAGTCCAATGAAGATAAAAATAAAAATTTTTAAAAGAAAATAATCACTGGGATGGAATCACAATAAAAAAGATGAAAATTATATCTTTTTCTAGAAAATGATGATTGGTTAAAAAAAGTGAAGAAATGGTTTGTATGAAGCCTGGAGAAAGATCGAGAAAAATAATTTGTCAGTGTATCACCAGCATTATCCACAGAAAAAGTTCCCGGACAAGTAACCCCAGTGTTCTAATTTGTTCTCCAGTAGAATGCTATCAGTTTTTAATATGTCATCATATGGAAGTTATCGGAGGCTGATGACACTGTCCATTAAGATCATCCAACCAAGTGTCTTGCTCACCAATCAATTTCTAATTTTAATTTAGCTTTTCGTAGATTTCTTTTTTCCCACAGCAGGGAAAAAAATCTACTCATCAGCTG